CCTGGGAATGGATCCCAAAGGACCATCCCGTTCCGACCCCCCGGAAGGGGCCAAATTCCCCCAAAAAAATAAAATCCCTTTGGATGGAGGGAGGAGAAACTTCCAGGCCACGGGGGCTGGGAATGGAGCTGGGAATCCTCAGCTGGGGGAAAATCCCTCTGGAATTCCGGAGTCCCTCTGCTCTGGATCCATCGGGAAGCACCAGGGATATTCCTGGATTGGGGAGGGGGGTGACACCTCCCTGCTTCCCGAAATTCCTGAAATTCTTGGGATCTCTGGGATGCTGGTGGGGGTGGGATCTCCAGGAGGGATCTCCAGTAGGAACTCGACATTCCCACATGGCCGGGAATTCCCGAGGATCTGGGAACACGGATATTCCCTCCCTGCTTCCCGAAATTCCCTAAATTCCTGGGATCTCTGGGATACTGGGGGGCTTTGGATCACCCCCAGGGGGGTGGGATCTCCAGTAGGAACTCGACATTCCCACATGGTTGGGAATTCCCAGTGATCCATCAGGAAGCACCAGGGATATTCCTGGATTGGGGAGGGGGGTGACACCTCCCTGCTTCCCGAAATTCCCGAAATTCTTGGGATCTCTGGGATGCCGGGAGGGGTCTGGATGCCACTGGATCTCCGGAGGGGGATCTCCCGTAGGAACTCGACATTCCCACATGGCCGGGAATTCCCAGTGATCCATCGGGAAGCACCTGGATTGGCAGGGGGGTGACACCTCCCTGCTTCCCGAAATTCCTGAAATTCTCGGGATCTCTTGGATCTCAGGGGGGGCTTTGGATCACCCCCAGGGGGGTCTGGATCTCCAGAGGGGGATCTCCAGTAGGAACTCGACATTCCCACATGGCCGGGAATTCCCGAGGATCTGGGAACACGGATATTCCCTCCCTGCTTCCCGAAATTCCCTAAATTCCTGGGATCTCTGGGATACTGGGGGGGTTTGGCTCACCCCCAGGGGGGTGGGATCTCCCGTAGGAACTCGACATTCCCACATGGCCGGCCATTCCCTCCCTCCCTCCCTCCCTCCTCTTTTTCCCGCCTCGGGAATTCCCGGCGCGGCTCGGGGGAGGCTGAAATTTTTCCCGGGATTTATTTTTTTCCCGCAGTTCGTGAAGTTCGCGAACATCGAGGAGGACACGCCCTCCTACCACCGCAGCTACGACTTCTTCGTGTGCCGCTTCAGCGAGATGTGCCACTCCAGCCACGAGGATCCCGCCGTCAGAGCCAGGTGGGCGATTCCAGCCGGGAATTCCAGCCGGGAATCCCACCCGGGAACTGCCACGGGGCGGGGGAGGGGGGGGGAATGGAAAGGGAGGGGGAGGGGTTGGGGGAGGGGATTATCCCGGGGAAAAGAGGGATCGGGATCAGGAGGGAGGTTTTGCCGCTCCCAGAATTCCCCGGTTCCCAGGGAATGTGGGGTGGGAGGGAGAGGGAATTTTTGGGAGCAATTCCCGCCTGGAAAGGGCTGTCAGGCACTGGAATTGCTGGAATCCCGTCCCTGCAGGGATTCCTGATCCCTGTGGATCCCGGAATCCTGGGAGTGGTTGGGATCCTCACTCCAAGACAGGGAGGGCATGGAGCGTTTCCAGGGAAAGGGATGGAATCAGGGAAGGGGCTGGAGCAGCGGGAATAATTCCCATGGAATGAGGGATGGGAGGAGAGGGAATATCGGGAACAATTCCCACCTGGAAAGGGCTGTCAGGCTCTGGAAGTGCTGGATTCCCAATCAATCCCTGCAGGGATTCCCAATCCATCCCTGGGGATGTGGCCCTTGGGGATTCCTGGGAATCTCCCAGCACTCCCAGCTCCTCCTTTTCCCCAGGAATTCCCCTCATTCCAAGCCCCTCCTGCAGCTCCATCCCAGCCCTTTCCCAGGGCACAACCAGCTCCCAAAATCCCCCCAGGGGGGAAAAAGTAGGATCAGGGATGGGAACTTTTCCCTCTCCACAATTCCCTGCCAGGAGAGGGGGGGATTGGGAGGGATATCGGGAATGATTCCCACCTGGAAAGGGTTTCCAGGCCTTGGAATTGGTGAAGTCAGGTGGGATTTTGGGAATGATTCCCACCTGGAAAGGGTTTCCAGGCCTTCCTTGGAATTGCTGGAGTCGCCATTCCCGAGGGAATTCCCAATCCCTGGGGCTGGGGGTGATTCCTGGAGATCCTGGAGATCCCTGGATCTGGGAATGGGGCCCGGGAGCATTTTGGGAATATCCCTCTGGAGCCATTCCCGGGGTTCCTGCGGGCACCAAACCCCCGGGATTTGTAATTCCCAAGGGATTCCCATCCCTCAGGATCAGCTTTCCTTCCTTTGCCCACCTGGGGCTGGGAATTTTTTCCTCAAAAAGGGGGGAAAAAAGGTGGAAAAAAACTCCTGATTTTCCCTCCATCTCCGGAAAAACCAGAGACGGGAATTAGGGCGGGGCTGATTCCAGCTGGGAATTCTGGAATTCCAGACTGGGAATCCCCCAAACTGGGGATTTTTTTGGGAATTCAGGGGCTCAGGAAGCACTTTGGGGGTTTATTTCCTTCCTATCCCAAGTTTTCCATGGGAAAAAACGGCTTTGGATCCCTCTGGAATGAGACAAAACCGGGAACAATATTCCCAGGGAATGCTGGTGCCACTGGAGCATCCCTGGGATTCTTGGGATGGCGGAAATCCTGGAATATTTGAGCAGGAAGGGGCCTAAAACTCATCCCATTCCTGACACTCTGGAATTCTCCCCCAGGGAATCCACCCCTTGGAGGCTCCCAGGGGTTGGAATATCCCGGATTTTTCTCTCCTGGATAATTTTGGGATCCCAAATGGGGATCCAGGGGCTCAGGAATTTTGGGGAATCCAGGGGCTCAGGAATTTTTGGGAATTTCTCCCATGAGGAATCCACCCCTTGGACACTCCCAGGGGTCGGAATATCCGGGATTTCTCTCTCTCTCCTGGATAATTTGGAATCCTAAATCAGGATCCAGGGGCTCAGGAATTTTTGGGAATCCAGGGGCTCAGGAATTTTTGGGAATCCAGGGGCTCAGGAATTTTTGGGAATTTCTCCCATGAGGAATCCACCCCTTGGATGCCCCCAGGGGTCAGAATATCCCAAATTTCTCCCTCCCCTGGGTAATTTTGGGATCCCAAATGGGAATCCAGGGGCTCAGGAATTTTTGGGAATTTCTCCCATGAGGAATCCACCCCTTGGACGCTCCCAGGGGTTGGAATATCCTGGATTTTTCTCTCTCTCCTGGATAATTTTGGGATCCCAAATGGGGATCCAGGGGCTCAGGAATTTTTGGGAATATTTGGGCGGGAAGGGACCTTAAAACTCATCCCATTCCCTGCCTGGGAATTCCACCATCCCAGATTTCTCCCATGGGGAATCCACCCCTTGGACGCCCCCAGGGGTCAGAATATCCCAAATTTCTCCCTCTCCTGGATAATTTGGGATCCCAAACAGGGAATCCAGGGACTCAGGAATTTTTGGGAATTTCTCCCATGAGGAATCCACCCCTTGGACGCCCCCAGGGGTTTGGAATATCCGGGATTTCTCCCTCCCCTGGGTGATTTGGGCTGGTTTTCCCGGCAGGATCCGGATGTCGGGGATCAAGGGCCTGCAGGGGGTGGTGAGGAAGACGGTGAATGACGAGCTCCAGGCCAACATTTGGGATCCCCAGCACATGGATAAGATCGTCCCTTCCCTGCTCTTCAACCTCCAGCACGGGGAGGAGCCCCAAAGGTGGGAAGAACGGCCCTGGGAAACGGGGAAGGGGCGGGAATTCTGTCTGGGAAGAGGGGGAAGGGGCAGGAATTCCCATCTAAGGGACGGGAATTCCAGCCTGGGAAACAGGAAAAGGGGCAGGAATTCCTCCTGGGAAGCAGGGAGGGGCAGGAATTCTTCCTGGGAAGAGGGAAAGGGGTGGGAATTGCCACCTAAGGCACAGGAATTCCAGCCTTGGAAGGGGGAAAAGGGGCAGGAATTCCCATCTAAGGGGTAGGAATTCCCACTTAGGAAGAAGGGAAGGGGCAGGAATTCCCACCTGGGAAGAGGAGAAGGGGTGGGAATTCTGCCTGGGAAGAGGGGAAGGGGCAGGAATTGCCACCTAAGGGACAGGAATTCCAGCCTGGGAAACAGGGAAGGGCTGGGAATTTCTCCTGGGAAGGGGGGAAGAAGTGGAAATTCCAGCCTGGGAAGAGGGGAAGGGGCGGGAATTCCTCCTGGGAAGAGGGGAAGGGGAAGGGATTCCTGCCTGGGAAGGGGGAAAAGGGGCAGGAATTCCCATCTAAGGGGCAGGAATTCCTCCTGGGAAGAGGGGACGGGGTGGGAATTCTTCATGGGAAGAGGGGACGGGGTGGGAATTCTTCATGGGAAGAGGGGACGGGGTGGGAATCCTTCATGGGAAGAGGGGAGGGGGCAGGAATTCTTTCTGGGAAGAGGGGAAGGGTCCCTCTCCCAGTTTTTCCAGGTCCTTCTCCCACTTTCTCCAAGATCCCTCTCCCAGATTTTCCAAGGTTTCTGTCCCAGTTTTTCCAGGCCCCTGTCCCAGTTTTTCCAGGTCCCTCTCCCAGTTTTTCCAGGCCCCTGTCCCAGTTTTTCCAGATCCCTCTCCCAGTTTTTCCAGGCCCCTCTCCCAGTTTTTCCAGCCCCTTTCCCAGATTTTTCCAGGTCCCTCTCCCAGATTTTTCCAGGTCCCTCTCCCAGATTTTTCCAGGCCCCTCTCCCAGTTTTTCCCAGTCCCTCTCCCAGGTTTTCCAAGATCCCTGTCCCACATTTTCCAAGGTTTCTGTCCCAGTTTTTCCAGGTCCCTCTCCCAGATTTTCCAAGGTTTCTGTCCCACTTTTTCGAGGTCCCTCTCCCAGGTTTTCCAAGGTCCCTCTCCCACATTTTCCAGGGTCCCTTTCCCAGTTTTTCCAGCTCCCTCTCCCAGATTTTCCAGGGTCCCTCTCCCAGATTTTCCAGGATCTCTCCCCCAGTTTTTCCAGCTCCCTCTCCCAGATTTTCCAGCTCCCTCTCCCAGATTTTCCAGCTCCCTCTCCCAGCCGTTCCCATGCCCTGTGGGTGTTTCCCAGCCGTTCCCCGTCCCCGGTGGGGGGTGCTCGGAAGGAGCGGGAGGTTCCGGCGGATCTGGCCGAGCGGTGCCTGCGGGAGCTGCTGGCGAGAGCGGCCTTTGGCAACATCAAAAACGCCCTCACGCCCGTCCTGCTGTGAGTTCTGATCCAAAAAATCCCCAAAATCCACCTCCTCATTCCCAAAAACATCAAAAACGCCCTCACCCCTGTCCTGCTGTGAGTTCTGAGCCCCAAAATCCCCAAAATCCACCTCCTCATTCCCAAAACATCAAAAACGCCCTCACGCCCGTCCTGCTGTGAGTTCTGATTCCCAACATCCCAAATTCCACCTCCTCATTCCCAAAATCCACCTCCTGATTCCCAAAATCCACCTCCTGATTCCCAAAATCATCCAGAACGCCCTCACGCTTGTCCTCCTGGGAGTCCTCATTCCCAAAATGCCACCTCCTGCTTCCCAAAATTCCAGATTCTACCTCCTGCTGCCCAAAATTCCAAATTCCCCATCCTGCTTCCCACATTCCACCTCCTGCTTCCCAAAGTTCCATGTCCTGCTTCCCAAAGTTCCGAGTTCCTGTTTCCCAGAAATCCTCATCCTGCTTCCTCAAATTCCACCTCCTGCTTCCCAAAATTCCCCATTCTACTTCCCGAAATTCCAGGTCCTGCTTCCACAAGTTCCAGGTCCTACTTCCCAAAATTCTGCCTCCTGCTTCTCCAAATTCCACTTCCCGCTTCCCAAACTTGTGAATTCTGGATCCCAAAAAATCCAAGTCCTGCCTCCCAAACTTCTCAGTCCTGGATCCCAAACTTTGGAGTCCTCCATCCCAAAATCCTTTGCCCTCCATCCCAGCAATCCCATCCCTCCATCCCAACAATCCCATTCCCGCATCCCAAACTTTCCCCCCATGGAAAACCCCTGGAATCCTCCCCGGGATCCCCCTGGACCCCCCTCCCTCCCCCCATCCCCCTTTGGATTCCAACCTTCATTCCCAGCTCCCCCTTTTCCCAGTTGTTTTTTGTTTGTTTTGTTTTTTTCCTGGGATTCCCTCCCAACCCTTTTCCCGGCATTCCCAATCTTTCCCAGGCACCTGGATAACCATTCCCTGTGGGAGCCCAAGGTTTTTGCCACCGGCTGCTTCCGGATCATCATGTACTCCATCCAGGTGAGGGGCCGGGAAAATCCCGGAGATTCCCGGAGCCTCCGGGAATTCGGGGCCATTCCCACTTCCTGGAATGTGGGAATGCCATTCCAAGGGGGGAAAACTCCGGGATATTCCAGAGCCTCTGGGAATTCGGGGCCATTCCTGCCTGGAATTCCCTGGGATCAATTCCCACCATTCCCATAGATTTCTCCAACTCCTGGGATCGTTTTTCCCGGGAAAATGGCTCCGAGGTCTGGCTGAGCTCTGGAGAACTGGCTTCCCTCGGAATTTGGGAAGGGTTATTCCCGTTCTTTTCCCTTTGGATTCAGCCCATTCTTGCCTGGAAAACCCTGAGCTTCCCTCCCCTGATCCCATTCCTGCTTTTTGATCCCATAAAATTCCCAAATCCCTGGAAATCGCTCCCAGATGGTCCCAAATCCCATTGGAATTGTGATCCCAGGCTGCCCCTGGAATTCCAGCTGCCTGGAATGCCTTGGATCAATTCCCACCATTCCCATGGATTTCTCCAACTCCTGGGATCGTTTTTCCCATGGAAAGGGAAACAGGCTCCCCGCGGGATTTGGGAAGGGTTATTCCCATTGTTTTCCCTTTGGATTCCTGCCTGGAATGCCCTGGGATCAATTCCCACCATTCCTATGGATTTATCCAACTCCTGGGATCATTTTTCCCGGGAAAAACCCCTCCCAACCCCCCCCCCCC